ATTTAATTATTAATATTAGCAATATTTAATTATTAGTATTATTAAAATGATAATATTCATTCATATATAATATAAAGATCAAAATGATAAAGGAGAGAAAATGTGAACTAAGTGAGATAAAAAAAAAATGCATTAAAGATAGAAAAATTTTATAAGAAATTTTGAATATATAAAAATATGCATTAAAATAACCAAAAAAATATAATATGTAGTTTATATAAAAAAAATAAAAAAACTAGCATGCCAAGTAGTTAAAATTGTTAAATTTGAATAATTATTCATCATTTTCTTGAGAGAAAAAAAAACTTGCAAGATTTGTTTAGTATAATCCTATATATTTGATCTACAACAATTTGCATTCAAATAAATAAATACTCATTACACCCAATATTGGCAAAAATAATTATATTTAAAAAAAGAAACTTGACACTTAAATTAAAATATAACACTCTAGGGGAAAAACTTTTTAAAAATTAAATAAACAAAAATACATAATTATATAAAATAAAAAGTTTAAAACTATGCATTAGTAGTCATTTAAAAAATTACTTATTTATGAACACTATTGGAGCTATGTGTTTTTAAGGGGGTCCCCACCCATGCTAAATATTTTTTATTATTATAATATATATTATACGAAATAAAATTTTACTCTCCCAAGGAAAAAATTTTAGCCCCTACACAGTATATATATACTTACACGAAATGACTTGTATGAAAAATAAATTAGAAATTTATTATAAAACTAAAACAAATTCAAAGTTAGAAAGCGAATTAAGAGTTTAAAATAAAAGAATAATAATAATAATGAGAGATTGTTTTAAGCTGATAATAAATTTATTGAGATCAAAAAGTCAATCTTTATACCAAAATAATAACTAACATATTATTCATTTTCTTCTTATGCAATTGATCATCTGCACTTAGAAGAAATAGATTTTTACTTTGCGATTTGAAATAAAAAGGTACAAAAATAAAAAGAATGTATAATTACAATATATTAACTTAAATCTTTATATATTTGACTTTTATATTTTTGCTCATTTATTCTTATGTCTTGGATGCATTAGTATTTATAAAGTATAGAGTATAAATGTGGGTCACTTCATTTCAAGAATGAAATGTGAATAATTTAATTGTTTTCAATTTAAAAAACTGTTTAAATTTTTATCACATTTTTATTTTCTAATTATTTGATATTATTATTTTTTCTTTTTTTAGAAAATTGTAATCATGTAAGAAAGTTGAGATTTGTGATTTTTTTTTATTTTAGAATAGTATGAACTTAAACAATTATAATTTAGACATTTTATATTTATTTTGAATAATCAATTGATGGTGTGTTATTTTTATTTATATATATATATATATATATTACGTAATTATAATATCATAGTTCAATTAATGGTCCAACCGGTGAACCATGAATTGATAAATTTTTCGATTCAATGAATGGTCTGATTTTTTAAACCTTGATTAAAAGCACTCAGATATTAAAAAAATTAAATTTAAAATTTTATTTTAATAACTTAAAAATATAAGTTATTTAATATTTTAACTATGCCAGATAGTATTAAATATGTAATGTTAATCATGAAATATGAGTACTTATTAGATTTTGAAACTAAATTAATTTAAGTATTAAATTCTTAGATACTAAAAATTAAAGTTATATGTGATAACTTTTAATTTAAATTAAATATATCTTATTTCAATCAATTTTAGTTATTAGTAAAAAGTAAAATAAAATTTACATTAATATTTAATTATTTTTCTATACTTTGAATTAAAGTAATTAAATATTAAATATTTATAAATATATATAAATTAAATGTATTTAAATAAACTATAAATACATGTTATTTATATTCATACTAAAAAATTTAGATTTTTTACAAGAGATATGCACAATTTAATTACATTGTTCTAATTGGATCCTTTAATAGTGAGTAAAATAACAAAAAGATTTAAATAAAATAAAAGACACCAAATTATTTGATTTAATTTTGTATCTATGATCTTATTTCAATTAATTTTAGTAATTAGTAATAAAAATATTTAAATATTATAATTTTGAATTTAAGAGATTAAATCTTAAATATTAATAAATATATGTGCACTTAAAAAAATTTAAATACATTTTTTACATATCCAAATTAAATAATTAAATAATTTCAATTGACAGTATAATAAAATTAAATTTTAGAAAATAAATATGAGAATATATAGAAAAAAATTTTAAAATATTACATCACTTGAGGTTTTGAAAAATAAATTTGAAAATGTATAGAGGAAAGTAGGTAAGAAAGAGATTCATGGTATTAATTAATTAGAGATATTTTAGTTATTTTATTTAGTATATACTTAAATAAGAATGTATTAAATAAAAGATTGAGATGAATTTTGTTAAATATCAACAATTAATAATAAAAATTTTATATTAGTCAATACAGGCCGACTGATTGTTGATAAACCCACGTTGTCTGCTAGCAGAGCTCCTGTCGATTAGGAAGAAATAAAGAACGGGGCGTCTTGCAGTTGAGACGTGCTGGTTCTGTCTCCACGGAAGAATAAATATAGGAAGGGGCAGCAGAGAGAGTTTTATTGCTTCAGTTTGCTTGTTTTTTTCTATCTTTTCTTTTATGGTGAACGGCCATGGCCTGCATCTGTTGGGGAAGCGGTAGTCGGCAGTTTTGAGGAGAATGCTTTTTCATGTTCACCCTTCTTGTTTTGTGGAGATTTCATTTGTTTTCTGTAAAAAAATAAGCACTTGCTGTTAAAAAAGCAGTGAAATGTGAGCAGTAAGAAGCAAATATAATGAATGGTCAAATATAATTTTTTGTGTTTCTTTTTGACTTTCTTACGTTTGAATTTAAGGAAATTAGGATACACTCACTTCGTCCTTCTAATTTTACATATACATAGATAATTTATAGAGGTAATTTTATAAAAATATATTTATAGTTATAAATTCATACTTGGAATTTGAAAAAAATATTTATAATTTTATAAATTTATATTTATAATTTATGTGTGAAAAAGTGTAGAAGAGTATTTTGAAAAATTAAATTACCTCTTGAATTATTATTTTTTATTTTAAATCTTTCAGAATATTAATTACACAAAAAAGTCATTTAGATAATAAAATTTTCTAAGTTAGTCAGTTTGATAATTTTCTCAAAATATTTCTCTTTTTACAAATTTAATTGAATAACAGTCAATCCCATTTTTATATTGAAAAAAATACTCATATATTTTGACTTAATTTGACTAAAAGTTTAATGGTAATTAAAAAAAGTAAGGGTATTTGAAGGAAAGAAAATATTTTTTATTTTAAAATTTTGAAAATTCAACATTTATTAATGCACATTTTCGTCATAGATCATTCATAAAGCTTCTGTTAATTTGATGATAATATTGAAAAATAAATTTCTTAAAATAATTCATCTAACAAATTTTACTGTGAATTTTCATTTCTCTCTGCTTTTTGCTGGAAAAGAAAACAATGAAAAGAGTATCACATTTAAATAAAACAAAAAAAATTTTCTAGATAGTTCTTCGATATAAAAATTATATATTAATATAATTAAATACCCAAAGTGGTTGCAAATTGCAACCACTTAAAGTTGCAAGAAGAGCATTTTAATTTGTTTTAAAAAAGAAATTGCAATAAATTATGTATGTTTTATCACTCGCAATGCACGTGACTCCAAGTATACTGCAAGAAGAGCACTTTTTGTGTTAAAAGTTATGCTTTATCACGCGCAATGCACTTGACTCCAAGTATAAACGCGCAAACTTGGTTTTAACGAGTCCTCCCTCCCCTTGTTCGTCCGTTGCTTGCTCATTAGTCATTACTGAGAGAAATAACTCGTTAAGGAGGTCGAGCGCGATACTTCGAAGCGAGAGAATAGAGAGGGCGAGCGGAGACACAGCGAGCATGAAAGAGGAGGTGATAAGCTCTTCGGGGGATCCCCTCCTGGCCCCCAAATCATCCTCTCCACCGCCCACCCCAACCCCGGCTGCTAGGTACGACCTCTTCGTTCCTGCTGTTCGCCTTCTAGGGCACGTTTTGTGGTACATTCACCTGTATAGTCATAATCCTTGTGCTTGTTGCCACGTTTTATGGGGGCTTTGCCTGCTCTTTGGGAGGGCTTTCATAATTAGCTTTTAGATATCTGTGTGGTCTTGTTACTGAGGAATGTGCTCGGTTTGATTCGCGAGGAAATTTAGGAAAAAGCGGCGGAATTGAGGTTTGGGTATCAGTGCTTTTAGCAAATACTCCGAAAGCATTAGATAAACCCAGATTTAAGAATTTATTTTTGTTTGCGTTGTTAATTGTGTGGTAACTTGCTTTTCGGTAGACAAACAATGGTGAACAAACCTCTTACCTTTTCTGCAATTTAAGCGTGAATTATGGAGTGTGCTCTATTAATTATAACCAGTGCTTGGATCATATTGTAGTCGATATGGATGGAGGAATTAGTCTCTCCCAATTCTCTTGTTTTGCATCCTTGGGGGGGGGGGGGGGTGTGAGGGTCATAGTTTTAGGGTTTGAATGGAAGCTTTCTTATTGAGGTCTTTACTTGTAGATTTGCCAAGTTTATGTTGGTGCTTTGAATATTTAGGGGAAGCAAGAAGGAGAAGAAAATGGAAAAGGAATCTACTTTCTAATATTTATCATCTCCTTATTAGATAGACGTTAAATTTAGGACTTTGCTGGGAAATGGTGTTAAAGAAAAAAGAAGGAAAAAAAAAAGGAAGCTCGATTTCTTTTCCTTTCCCTAACTGGAATCTAGATCTTCCAGATTTCACAACTTCCAAATTCCAAGCTAATTTTCTATGTATAATCTATTGTCTGGACCTTCCTTCTGAAATTTAAGGAACTTGCTTATATACAATGGAACCTGAGGTTTGTATTTAATATTTTTTGACAATATAAACTATGAGTTAAGTAGAAAGTGTACAATTGCTTGTTAGAAAAATTGAAACAAAAAGAGATGCTCCTGTAATACTAACTGGTGTGTTCTTGGTGGGTAAAGTTAATATCTTGCCTCTGGCATCCCTGTCAGTCAGGCTTGGATCCTTATATCATGATTGTTTATTAGGCTGGATTTGGGCTGTTACTTTTTTCATGTTTGGCTTAGTCCTTTAGGTTTACAGAGTAACTACAAATAACCGTACTGCATGAACCACATCTATATAAAGTCCCACTTACATCATTCTAATACATTGCGTGGGCCTATAAATTGGAGTTAAGTGCAGGCGAAAAGTTCTTCAGTATTTATTGGTATATTTTCCATTCACTCCCAACGACCAATCTTTCTTAACTAAGGTACTTGTGCATTTCTTGTCTGTTGGAAATAATATATATTGGAGGCCAAGTAATAGGCATACTAGGAAAATTCTCCATTGAGGCCCTGGTGCCCCACATACCTTCATGTAAGTCTTATTTAGTCTGTTAGCTGATAATTTTCGATATCAATTCTGTAAATTTAGTTCAATTTTCACATTGCTATACAGTATGATGTATCATTATTTTATCTAGAGGGGTTAGGTGGTAATTTTTGTCATCATATGTAATGTTAAGATCAATGTGTGGATAAAATATGTTTTATCACACTGTTAATTAGATCAACAAATTGTACCACCTGTAACTTGTATTAGCCAAAATAATTTGTCTTCTTTGCTAGATTTTTACTTGATCACTTAATCACTTAACCTTAGATACCATGACCATCAAAAACACAACAATTTTGTAGTTTAAGTTCTGCTAATTGGAATGTCATGAGATCTTCCATAACTAACTGCTGCAATCCTGCAATCAATCTCTTTTATCTCTTTTTTCTTAACAGTTTTCTGAGGTCACTTGTCTGCTGACATTGTCTCATGTGTTGGCATTGGCCATATGTTCTTTGTTCCTTGTCCTCGCTCTCTCAAGTCAGGGTCTGTTATTTCTAAAAAACCTGGGGTTTTTTGGTATTTCTTTTTAAAGCTATAAATAATAGCTTTTCGAGCTTTCTGGAGTTGAATTTTGAAGGTAAAGGCGATAATAAAAGATTGACAAAGGCGATAATAAAAGATTGACAATCTAATTCCTTCTTGTATATGAAGAAACCACTTGTACTTAACCATGTTCCATCTTTTTTTACCTAATCAAACATCCTTTTACCATCAGGAAATTGTAGCTGCTGCCTTCTGGGATTATTTAGATCCTTTGCATTGGTAATAGACAGTTTAATGATATTGGGATTATGATAGTTGTATGAGAATTTCCATTTTTTAGGTATCAAGTTTGGTTAAAGTATAAGGACACTTGTGCAAACTTGTCCCATGCTTTTCTAGGACCCATTTACATTAAGACATAGGAGAAGTTCTTCTAGTCACTTGCTGCTCAACTGAGGGAAAAGGTTGAGTATGGAGATGGTTCTTTATTTTTCCCTCCGTCATCATAACTTCTGTTATATTGTAATGTACTAATATTATGCGAGTAAAACATGAAATATTATAATAAAAATGGTGCACACACACACACGCAAGTTCTTGCCAGACTGTGTCCTAGTCTTCTTTTTTCTACATCTGGATTGGACTACAATTGCTTAAAAGTGAAAATAATTTTGCAGGAATCTTATAATTATAATTGGGGAGATGACTGAGACATGGCAAATTGCCTGCACTGAGGACGTTTGTAGTTGAATTTGTATTCTGCCTAAATCTGGCAGTCTAATTTTATGAGGCCTTTTTGATGTCAATCTAGCAGAATGGTTGCTTATGGAATAACCTTATCTAATAACCTTGTTTGCTTTCAGCTCTGCTGGGACATCGTCTCCTGCCTTGCCTGTGAATGTGGAAGCATAGATTGGTTGGGTACTGGACAGGGTTCCAAAGCAGGATCTCTATCCCGAATTGGTTCATACCTTCCGCGATCCTCATTGAGCACAAGTGCTGGTGGTTCTGTGCTTGGGTCATTTCAACCATCGTGCAGACCATGGGAAAGGGGGGATTTACTGAGGCGTCTTTCTACGTTCAAGCCTGCAAATTGGTTTGGGAAGCCAAAGGTTTGAACTTAATTAATTTTCACTCATAGACATGTTTCTAGACCTTCAAAATTCTCAGCCAACTTAACACAAGGAAGTGTCTTCCCACTTTAGTTCATTTGAATGGTCTCTAGACCTTTAAAACTGAGTACACAAAGTTTCTTTGCATGATCACAGAAAAGCTGCCTACTTTTCAGAGTTTTAGCTGCTTAGATTAGTGCAATTTCATGGATGCTGTCTTGAGAAGCCTGGAATTATGTGTTATTTGCATGAATACCTTACCAAGTCTTGTCAATTAGTGGTTATGAACTTTGTCCTTCAGGACCAGAAATATAGCTTTGTTTTTATTAGTTCTTCATGATCCCAACCAAGATGTACATTGAGAAATTAAATTATTTGATGATAATTCTTTCTCCTTAATCAGTTGCATGTCAAAGTGTGCTGGGTTTCAAATTTCCAATTATGTAAGCTGGATGTGTGTGCTGAAGTTATTTTTAATTTCCAAACAGGCCTATTTCCTGTGCTTATATTGCCTAAATACCTTCAGTATATCATGTCAGGAGCCACTTTGGGGGAAATTTCGTTATTTTGGCCTTTTGGGCTTCACATCTTTCATATTACTACACAGGGATGGACTGATTAGATATCTTTGCAATGAACATTACCCAAGCATGCTTGTTGACAGGCGTGTCATTAATACAGTTGTTAGGTTAATTATGTTAAATACTTGTTTTAGTCTTTAGTAAGTCGCACATTGGATAATATAGTAATTAGGGTCTCATTACTTAGTGCATATATATGGTCCCTGATGTAATTAATTAACATATGAAATATTAAAACCTAAGGGTTTTCTTTTCTCCTTCTCTCTACTTTCACATGGTATTAAGGCCAATGGAAGAGAAAAACCCTAACCTAGCACCCATCCCAGTGCATCAACCCTTGCCCTAGTTCAAACTACCATGCCTGTCTTTTAGTAGTGTGTAAACCCTAGGTTACATCATAGGGTTTGTTGTTTTCTGATCACATCCTAACCAGTCGGCGACGTGATCAGACTTGCTAGCTGCTGTTTTTAGCCTAGCTTTGTACTCGGACCATTGTCGTTCATCCTTGTGCCTCTGTCTTTCAGCCTAAGTTGTGGCTGCTTTCGCCCATTGCTTTAGACTCGCTGGTTGCCATCAGGATTTCGACCATTGTTGTTCTCCAGTCGTTTGTCAATTAGGACTATGGTAAGTCTATGGCCAGGTTTAGATTTGCTTCTACAAATGGGTAGCTAGGCTTCAATTGAGACCCATTGCAGTCAATTCTTATAGCTAGCATTGAACATACAAGCATCAAGGCTCCGATTAACCTCCGCTGCAGTCAATTCTCGTTGCAAGCATCAAATAGACGAGGAGAATAGGGTTGAACAAACAAGGTGGGTTTACTGAATTGACCTAACCCGAACCGGCTGAACTGACCATACTCAAAAGATTTGGGTTGACTCGAGTCACCTGAATCGGTTTGCTTGAATTGGCCGAACCAAACTAGCACAATTAAATAAGTTGCACCAAATTGAACCAGGATTAAGTCTTTTGCTTTTGGTTTCCTCATACAATTTGCATGGCTTCATTTGAGCCTAACTCAGGATCCAAATTCTCATTTGCAGTTACATCAGCACCTAGACCTAGTACTTTTTCTTCTATCATTACTCCCACTCCAACAATTACTTTTGAAAGATTGGTAGGAGTTCAATTTCATCTCATAGTCAAGATTTGTTAAGTTATGGTTTTGTGGTCAAGACTATGAGAATCAATTGCCTTTTAAACTTGAGACAGTGTCCTTTGTCGAGATAGTTGAGTTTAAGAAGATTGATGCCCTTTTGCATAATTTATTATTGCAATCTATTGATCCTAAATTTAATAGTATTTATCAAGGATATGATATTTGCTATTTGATTTGGGATAGGGCTAAATCATTGTATACTGGTGACATTCAACGTTTTTTTCTACTTTATTATCCAATATGGTTAATTTAAAACAATGCGCTGATATGTTTGAGTTTGTTGGTAATCTTTAACCTATGAAACAGGAATTGGATTCTTACTTGACCATAAAGTCAATGCTGCTGAAAAATCGACACAAATAGATGAGTTGATTATGATCCTTGGTCTGACTGCTTTTCGAGCTGAGCTTGCTTCTGTTCGAGATGAGATCCTTGTTGGGTCCACAGTTCCATCTCTTGATGATCTCAATGCTTGGTTACTCTACATTGCCTTTATCACTCCACTGTCTAAGAGTTCTTCAATTGAAACTCTAGGATTGGTGTCTCCAACTAATTTTAGAGGAGAGCAAAGAGGCAGTAGGGTGCTGGTAATGTTCCAAATAACGATCCTAAGTGCAATTATTACTAGAAGTGGAGACATTATAGGGAGAAGTGCCACTAGCTGTATCGTCAACTACCCCATGTTGCCAACACTGCTCAGACTGATACTTCTGACTCTAGGCCTACTTCAAAGGAATAGTCCCTATCTATCATTGTGACTATGTTAGATTACGAGGACTACCTTTGACTACCTCCATTACAAGGTTGCTTAGCAACCTTTCGCTTTTGGTGCTTGTATTGGTAACTTTGTGTCTTGCCTTACTAGGTCTTATAGACTTGGACCATGGGTTAATTTTGGTACTTTCGAACACCTATTTGGTAACGGACACCCTTTCTCCCGTCTTAATTACTCCGCTTCTCTTCCTTGTGCCACCCTTACTAATGGTTCCAAAACTATGGTTAAAGGCATTGGTTAAGCTTCGATCTTTCCTTATCAAATTTAGATTTTGTTCTTTATGTTCATTTTTAACCTTGTTTCAGTTAGTAAATTAGCTTGTGCCTTGAATTGCTTAGTAACCTTGTTGGATGATTTTGTGATTGTACAAGACCGGGGTAAGGGATAGATGATTGGCAAAGGGCTTGAGTCACAAATGCTTTATCAAATTGATTTGTCCTCTTCTTTAGTTGCCTACACATCTATGGAGTCTTTCACTCTTATTCACAGTCACTTGGGCCATTCTAGTCTTTCCAAACTGCAAAAGATAGTTCCAAGTCTTTCACATTTGTCATCTTTAGAGTGCAAGTTGTGTCAATTTGTTAAATAGTCATGTGTTTTGTTTCCCAAGTGAGTTAATAAATAGGCTACATCCCCCTTTTTGTTAGTCCCTTCATATATTTGGGGTTCAAATCTTGACACATCTTTTTATGCGTTCAGTTTTTTGTTACGGTTATTAATGATTATTCTCAACATACTTGGTTATGTTTATTGAAAAGCTACTTTGAAGTATATTTTTGTCATCAAGGAATTTTGTGCTGAAACAAAAACTCAGTTTAATGCTTAAATTTGTGTTTTGCATAGTGATAATGCCCGTGAATATTTTTTTACCTCTTCCACTCAATTTATGTCTTCTCAATGTATTCTTCACCAATTTTCTTGTGCTCACACGCCATAGCAAAATGGAGTTGTGAAGCATAACCATTGGCATCTTATTAAAATAGGCCGCGCTCTCTTACTTTATAATAATGTTACTTTTTGTTTTTGGGCTGATGCAGTGCTGACCACTTGTTACTTAATTAACCATATGTCTTCTTCTACTTTTTGGCACCAAATTCTCTTCTCCATTCTATTTCTTGATCCATGTGTTTATCTTCTTCCCCCTTCATGTGTTTGGTTGTACTTGTTTTGTTCATCACTTGGCTCCTAGATGGGATAAGCTTTCTGCTTGGTCTATAAATGTATTTTCTTGGTTTATTCTTGAGTTTAGAAAGGATATAGATGTTATTCTCCTACTAATTGATGCTTCTACATTTTAGCTGATGTTACCTTCTTCAAGTCTTGCCCATACTTTGCTACTCCTTTAGAGTTGAGTCTTATTTCTCAAGTTCTTCCTATACCATATTTGGGTGGTCCTTTTTTCACTACTGAGAAACAAGTGGCAACAAGACGATCCACTTGTTTCTGTTCCTACACCTCTAGTTTTTATTTTACATGTTTATAGCTGTCAACCTTGCCCTCCTTTCGCAAGTATTGAAGAGGTTCCAATTGACTCACCTGCTACACTAACATCTCCACTTGCTACGGACCTATACATAGATGAGTCTCAAGCACTTGTCCTCCGGGAAGATGATCGCTCTACCAAAAATTCCTATCCTATTTATACCTTTCTTAGTTATCATCATTAGTCTCTTTCATATTAGTCCCTTATTTGCTCTTTATCCTGTGTATCTATTCCTAAGACTACTAGTGAGGCACTTTTAGATCCATGGTGGTGACAAGCTATGATTGATGAGAAGATTGCCTTGCATTCTAGTGGTACTTGGGATTTGGTACCCTTACCTCTTGGCAAATCTACTGCTAGATGTCATTGGGTTCACATCATCAAAGTTGGCCCCATGGTTATCAATAGCGCGCTATAGCGACATAGCGAGCGCTACAGCATTGAGCGCTACAGAGGAGGCATGTCGTAGCGAGGGTAAGATAGCGAGACTTAGCGAGCGCTATCTGCGCTATAGGATTAGCTTCTTAGCGCGCGCAATCTGCGCTACATGGAATCGCGACTCTCGATCAACTTGGGTCAGACTCGAGTCCTCGCATCAGAGTCGGGTCGTTGCATTAAGGTCTCGATCGAGCCCTCAGCCTTCATCAAACGAGCATTGCAGTTCATCCTGAGACTTCTTCAACCTCTGTCGGGCCTCAGACGAGCATCCTCAGACTTCATCAGCCTTCATCAGCCTTCGTCGATCGAGCCCTAGACGCACCTGACCGAGCACGCAGGAAGCCTTCGAGCTCCAGACCAGCATCGCAGGAACCCATCGAGCCCTAGACCCCCGTCGACTGAGCACGCCGGAACCTTTCAAGCCCCAGACCAGCATCTTTGGAACCCATCGAGCCCAGACCGACCTCCATCGAGCCCAGACGAGCTTCGCTTGTGGGTTTGGAGAGAGGCTTCTCTCTCGTTTGCAGCTCTGTGGGTTTCGCGAGAGACTTCTGTGAAGCCATAACCAGCGTGGCTATGTGCTTCTCTGCTGTGTGGTTGTCTCCTGTGTGGCTTCCGTAAGGCATAACCAGTTAACCTTTTTCATTAATGTATTTATTAGAAAATGAAATTAATAATTAGTTACAGACTATTAATTTACTATCATAATAATTTTTTTAATTCTTTATTTTTCTTGTAAATTACAGATTAATGCTTCATTTGATTGTTTGTTTTGCCAATAAATTTCAGCCCTCTGATTCATTACATTAGACTTTGAAATGAGTACTAGCAAGAGTAGTGGAGATCTAACTTGAAAATATTTTCATTTCATTAGACTTTCATATATATTATTGTGATATATTACAATTATATACTTTGCGCTATTTTACCGAATAGCCACGCTATTCGCTATGCGCTATGCGCTATGGCGCTATGGCCTCTTTGCGCTATGGTGCGCTATGCGCCATAAACAACTATGGTTGGCCCCAATGGACAGGTTGATCATCTTAAGGCCCGTTTGGTTGCCAAAGGCTACACTTAGATTCATGGGTTGGATTATCGTGACATCACCTCTCTTGTGGCTAAGATTGCCACCTTGTGTCTATTTCTCTCTATTGTAGCCATGAATCATTGACCTCTATATTAGCTGGACATAAAAAATGCCTTCCTTCATAGTGAATTGAAGGAAGAGGTTTATATGGAGTAACTAGCCAGTTTTGTTTCTCCAGGGAGTTTGGTATGGTCACTTTATGGCTTGAAACAATCTCTACGAAGTGAAGTTGATCACTTAGTTTTCTATCGTTATGGGCCACGTAGTTAATGCATCTATCTAGTGATTTACGTTGATGATATTGTTATTACTGGGAGTGCTTAGAAAGGTTTTCAATAGCTCAAATAGCAGCCCTTTACTCACTTTTGGACCAAAGATTTGGGTTATTTAAATATTTTCTTGGGATATAGGTGGCTCAACAATTTGCATGAGGAGTTGGACCTACTAGAGTTCTCGGATATTATGAACAGAGAATTTGGGCTGAGAGTGGATAGGGGTTTAGCCAGGGTTCCATTGTTGATGTATAGATTGCAGAGGGTTCTCCATCTGCAAGATTGATGTCAAAATTTTGTAATTAATGTAAATTTTAATTTTTGTTAGCGAATTTTTCACAGCGTTCAAATGATGAAACCAATGTTAATTGTTTGAAGAATATGTGGTGTTGAGAATCGTACAATAGAGAGAAAATAAGGTATAAGTAAAACTAATCAATAAAATTTATTGATTCACGAACGTTTACATAAGAAGTGATTACTAATCTGAAATAACGCAATACATTGTTTATTGTAATATAGTATATCTCAATGGAAATTATTCCTAGGTTGTCTAGCTGTTGGTATGCCCTCCTTTGGGGACACTTGGGTATCGTAGGGAACGCCCTCTCATGTATGAAGATAGGGGATGTGTTCATGTGATTGTGTATTCTGATGCAGATTGGGCTGGTTCTTCTCTAGGTAAACACTCAACTTTAGGATACTATGTTTTGATTGGAGGTAATTTAGTATCTTGGGAAAGTAAAAAATAGGATGTTGTTGCTAGGTCGAGTGTTGAAGCTGAGTATTTTGCTATGGCCTTGGCAACTTGTGAGCTTGTTTGGTTGAAATAGTTACTTCATGAATTGAAATTTCAATTGTCATTTTATCAGGTCTTATCTGGCTGCATTGTTGTTAGTTTTGTCAACTCCACTAACTAACTAGTAGATATTTTTACCAAATCTTTGAAAGGTCCTCAGGTCACTTTCTTTTGTAGCAAGCTTGGTACATATGATTTATATGTTCTGGCTTGAGGAGAATGTTAGGATAATTATGTTAAATAGTTATTTTAATCTTTATTTACTCTCACATCAGATAATACAGTAATTGGTGTCTCATTGCTTAGCGTATAGAAATGTTCCTTGATGTAATTAATTAACATATGAAATATTAAAACTTAAGGTTTTTCTTTTCACCTTCTTTCTACTTTCACAACAATCATATCCATTCACCTTTTTACTGAAGTTGGTCCACTTTTTTTTGTGTCCTGTGCTTATTTATCTTTGGAAGTTGTTATTGACTGTTCTTTGTCACTGGCAGTGGTACAAGGCTTAATTGAGTTTGGCTGAACAAATCTGTGCATCAGATACTAAAGTGCTGATTTATCTGGCCTATGTGATGCATCCTTTTGGAAACATTCTTTATAGTATGGTGAAACGCATTATGAGGGAAATCTTACTATCTTAAAGCGGTGGGTGAAGGCAATAAAAGGACTCCATTATAGAGAGAAACAGAAGCCAGCAACAGTTGCAAGCATCTAGAAAGAGTTAAGGAGAGTTCTGGGCTTAGTCGTTATGTATACATCTGCGTGGTCATTTTGCCTGCCTTCAAACCTACAAAAGCAGCTTAGCTTGGTTGAGGAGTGCCTTGTCCAACCTTATATACAATATTTAAGTTTTTTATTTGGTTATGTGTTGTTTTAAGCAACAGTTGCCCATTTCTGAGGTTGCTATATTCAACTGGAGTCTGAAAAGATATCGAGAGAACTTTAGAATCTTTACAACTCAGGAAATGCCTTAGCACTGGCTCTGGAATTTGTCATATCCATGTATCTACTATAAAGAACTAGGCATGACTGCCCCGGGGAAGAAACTGTTGCTGTTGTAAACAGTCAATTAATTAGATGCTTCTGAAGTTATCACATATTCTTTCTTTTGTTCTTTTTATTTGTTATTTCTTTTATATCTATTACTATATCATGGATGGTTGTGCTTCTCATTATCAGGTAGTTTCTTCATTCTGCACCTAAACCTTTATTCTTTAATATTGTGCAGGCTGCCAGTTCACTGGCTTGTGCTAGAAGAGGCTGGATAAATGTTGATGTTGACAAGATTGAGTGCGAGTCATGTAATGCAAACTTGCAGTTCGTCTCATCTGCTTCCTGGACACCTACAGAAGGTGAATTTTGCTGTTAATTCACTGATATGTTGATGTGATTTTTGGATTTGTCTATTCCTTAGCCAGTCTAGAGGTTGGGAAGAATCCTTTAATGTTTCATATTGTTTCTCAATGAGGTTTTACTTTTATAATTGTAAAATCCTGATAGTCATCCATAACTTGAAAGTCCTTTATGTTATGATAATCTCCACGATATTTATAACTAATCTATGATCTCTTCTGTTGCTTACATTGAATAATTTGCACATGACCTAATTTTCTAACATTCCTTGTAACTCACGCTTTGCTAATACCCTGCAGCAAGATATAGATTGAATTTCTTTTCATATGTTGCCAATATGTTCTATCCTTGTTTGCACTGTTCTCCATGCCAGAGTAGAACAGGGGAACTCTGGAAAGGTATTTGGATGCAATTAGACGTGTTTCCAGTATATTCAATGGAGCAAACATGACCCACCTGAGATGATTTTCTTTCTTATGGATAAGATAATCTCTACTTGGTCAAATGCAAACAAAATCATTGTACATATTGTGTCATTTCTGAATGATATACACTCAAGTACTGCCCAATATGCGAGGATGCTTCTTATCCAACGTGGTTCTTGTATAGGAAGTCTTGGTCTCCTGTCTTATTTTATTTACCTATTTCCTTATGAGGAATCTTCTTGATCAAATACGTTCAACTTTTTTCTTTCACAAAATAATGAGATGTGTGCTTATTCCAAGTTGATGGTTGTGGTCCACTTATTTGTTGGATTGGATCAAGTGGGCAATTGGTTGTGTGCTAGACAGAGAAAGATGAGGGTATTAAGAAAATCAGCTTTTCTGCCTAGCCAGATTTCTCGTGTTGGTGTCTGCAAAATTTCTATCAAATTCTATTAATGTCAAAAAGGAATAGCATACAAACAATCTAGACCTGTGTGGGGCCAGTGTAGTGAGGGCCAATATCAGGATTTGTTGTATGACAAGTTTGATGCTATCTAATGCATTGAAGCTCACATGTTCCTTTGTTGCTTAGAAATCTCAGTTTCCTAGTACTGCGATGTTGGCTTCCTTATAGAAATCTTGTTTAATAACCTGATGTGCTAATTATGTTAACCACACTTAAGCATGCCTTGTTAATCTTCATTTTGGCACTTGTAGGCTACTTAAAAAAAACAATTGCTGGAAGCATTAATTTTGATGATATTTTTCTTATGGCTAATGGTTATTCATTTTTTAAATTTGTCCTCATGAAGCTGAGACTGCTGTGGAAGACTTTGCTAAACAGCTAGATGCAGGGCATAAAGTCAATTGTCCTTGGAGAGGAAACATCTGTGCAGAAAGCTTGGTGCAGTTTCCTCCTGCTCCTGAATCAGCTCTTATTGGTGGCTATAAGGATCGCTGTGATGGGCTCCTACAGTTTCTTTCCCTCCCAGTTGTGGCTGCTTCTGTTATTGCTCAGATGCGAGCTTATCGGGGTCCAGAAATTGACCGCTTTCTTGTTCAAGGACAGGCTTTCACAGCAGGGGAATCTGGCTTTAGGGCTGAGAACGTCTCAGTAACAGAAAACACCAGAGAAGAGGCCTTCTACATATATTCCCGTGTAAGATATTTGCGAGATCTTACATGTTTGTGAACTTCAGGTGCTTTAATTTCCTAGCATCTAATTGCTTCTGTTTTTAATTTTAGTCTCAGAAGTTGATAAGCTTGTGTGGATGGGAACCAAGATGGCTTCCAAATGTTCAAGACTGTGAAGAGCATTCTGCTCAATCAGCTAGGAATGGATGTTCCGTTGGTCCCACTGGAGACCGTGGGCATCTGCAAGATGTGGGTCCTAGCAAGAAATCATTCTCTGCTTCAACCAGGAAGGAATCGAGAAAGAATGAGTTAGTTGTTACTGAGTCTAAATGTGAATCTAGATCTCCTTTGTTAGATTGTAGTCTATGTGGAGCCACAGTTAGAATCTGGGACTTCTTGACTGTATCTCGCCCTGCACGTTATGCTCCCAATAGCATAGATATTCCTGAAACAAGCAAAAAGATGGTGTTGACACGTGGGGTAAGTGCTGCCAGTGGAATAAGTGGATGGGTTGCTACTGATGGTATAGACAAAGAGCAGATGGAGGATCATGATGAAGCTGGAACAACAGATGAAGGGAAATCACAGTCAAATGTTGGGGCAGATTTGAATCCAACCATGACTGCTGGTATATCCTCTACACAGTTGCACACATCTGTGAGATCAGAAAAGTACCAAGATGTTAATATGGGAAGAGATCTCATAATTGGGCAGCCTTCTAGTAGTGAGGTTGGTGATCGTGCAGCTTCATATGAGTCACGAGGACCCAGTACACGAAAGCGGAACTTGGATGAAGGTGGCAGCACTGTTGACACACCACAGTTGATGCAACAGGCAGACAGCATCGAAGGAACTGTCATTGACCGTGATGGTGATGAAGTTGATGGTGGTGGACAGTACTCAGCTGGGCCCTCAAAGCGAGCTCGTGACTCGGAGGCTTTTGAAACTTATCATTCATCATTTAGAAGAGATTCATCTGGTGCTGGTCCTAGCCATTCAGTGGGCTTTGACATAGAAACAGATACCCATAGAGTTGATCCTTCTCATCCAGGACCAGAACAAAATATCCATATCGCATCAACTAGAGATTCTACACGTGCTTCCTCTGTTATTGCAATGGACACATTCTGTCACAGTGCAGATGATGATTCTATGGAAAGTGTAGAAAATTGTCCTGGAGATGTTGATGATGCCCATTTCCCCTCCACATCAGGGATTAAGAATTCTGATTTGAACAACACATCTGAATTGAACTACAGCAATCAAGCACAACAAAGCACCTGTCCTGCAACTTTGAGAAATACAGGTGAAATGGGTGTTAGCAGCACAAATGACGGTGAGGAAGTATTAAACACTGATACCATGACTGCCCATGGGAGGGATGGGCCTAGCTTTGGTATTAGTGGGGGAAGTGTTGGCATGGGTGCTAGCCATGAAGCTGAAATCCATGGAACTGATGTTTCTGCCCATAGAACAGATAGCGTTGTGGGTGATGCAGAACCAGTTGCTGAAGTCACTGAAAATCAGGGTCAAACTGGTGAATTTGCTCCAGATCCTGGGTTGATGGGTGATTTTGTCCCCGAAGAAATGGATCGAGAGGATCCTCATGGTGACAGTCAGGACTTCATGTCTCGATCTGTAGGAAGGGCTGATAGTGGCTCAAAGATTCTTGGTTCAATGAAGGCTGAATCTGTTGAAAGTGGTGAGAAAAACAGTAGTATGAACATTGTACCTCAGGAGAACAGTGCTCATCCCTCACTTTCTTGCAATGCGATTTTATGCTCTGGATATGAAGTGTCTAAGGAAGAAGTGACTCAAGGTCGCAAGGCATCACCTGCTGATGACTCCGCCTACCCTCAGTCAGATTTTTTGGTGGCAAATGGCATAGGTAATATTCTTTGCTCTTTCCCACTATGAAGAGCTCTTGATTCTTACTAAATATGCTAATATCATAGCAACTTTTGAATTGGAATGTACATTTTGAAACATGGCATGCTCACATTTGAAAATGGTGAATTCAGCTAACACCAAACTTGTCCTGGGGGATGTGCATTAATTATTTTGATATAAATTCTAGTTGTAAGGAGTATAGACAGGGTAGGCCGTTGCTGGGTTAGGTTGGATTGATTACTAGGTGATGACCCAAATTACTTAGTTGGGTTGATTCCAAAGATCAAAACTAACCAAGTCTCATAACTGTCAACCCAACCTCATGGGACAAGATTGAAGTTGGCTTCTAGCTAGTGTTGTCAAATGGCGGCCATGGCGGCGCCATGGCAGATGGCGGTGGCGGAATTCCAAAATTCTGCCACAGCGCCATCCGCCTTTAGCCTTTTTGTCATAGCGGCACCATGGCGCCTACTATGGCCATGGTGTCGTGGCGGCGTAGCGATGCCATGGCTGTAAGCAGGTTCTGTCTAGGGTTTGCCGATGAGCCATGGGCCTCGGCTAGCCCAAGGGCTTTGAACGAGATGGGCTAGGGCTTCGAGCTGGTCTCGTTCGAGCGGGAAAACACACCTGCACGCGAAATAAAGAAACGATCGACAGATGAAAGACGAAAGCAAGGGATAGATGACAGACAATAGTCAACAGCCAGAGCCTTGAGCCGAGAGATGACAGATGATAGACAGCCGAGAGAGACGAGAGAGACTGAGGGAGCTGTTCTGCGTAGAGTGATGATCGACACCAAGCGACAGACGAATGATAGACGACAGACAGCCGAGAGCCAAGAGACACTGAGGGAGCTGTTCTGCGCAGAGTGACGACCGACACCAGGCGACAGACGACAGCAAGAGGGAGCTGGACGATCGACACCAGGCGACAACAAGGAAGAGACAACAGAGAGACAGACGGTAAGGAGTGCATGTTCTGCGCCTCCGTAACTGGGTAGAGTAAGGTGTTTTTTTTTTTTTTTTTTTTTTAAGTTAATAGCCTTCAGCTGCGTAGAAAACTGGGTAGTTTTTTGTTCTTTGTTTTTTTTTTTAGTTAATACCCTTTAGCTACACAAGAACTGAGTAGGCATTTTTTGTTAAGAGTTAATACTCCTATTATAACAATAACAATTTATCATATTTTGTGTGTTTGGGATTATTATTGAGAGTTTGACTATAATATGTGTTTTTTATTCTTTTTTTTGAATGTTTGTGGCACTTATTTAGTTGTTATGAAATGATGTAATGATATTTACTTTTATTTAATAATAGTTTTTAGTTTTTTTTTGCAAATTTTTATTGTTAATTTTAGTTTTTTTTTGGTCCACCATGTGGCCACCATGCCATCTGCCATGGCGCCATGGCGGTTTTTGGCTTGCCCGCCATGGGCCGCTATACGCCATTGATAACACTGCTTCTAGCAAGCTGCAGATAATCAATTTACCCTTCAGATCTCAAAATCAAGATATTCTAGGATCATACGGAGGAAGGGTTAATCAACTGCTTGGCCTACCTCATCAAGAATTTAATGATTGCTAATGGCTGTTGGACAAGTGTGAGAAGTTACCGAAGACGAGAACAAGTTCTGTTTTTGGGATTAAATGCAGAATTTTTAAATCATCTATCTTCCATCTTTAATTATTTAATATAATAATAACTTTTTTTTTTTTATTTTTTTATTGGTTTGTATGTGTTAAGCTATCAAGTATCTCCTTTTTTATCCTTTGGGTATGTTAATGATTAGGAAAACTCATTCTCCAGTCTTTTATGGCAAATTCTAGTCATCTCATTATGTGATGACTAAGAAACATGGACACAGATGTGGTGTGTGATATTTAATATTTATTATCATTGTATTAATAAATAGGCATATCCATAAATGATCAGAAATAGCATAAATATGAAACAGTCAAACTGATTCATTTGTGCTTAGACACCAATCAGCATGAATCAAACTACTATACATTTATAGCAAGTATTCCATTTCTTTATTGTTTAAGTAATATGATTTATGTACTAAGATATATGTCTCTATACTTGAACATGCATGGCTGAAACTAAAAATGAAATAAAAAATTGAACGCCCACCTGGCATGTCTGATACATGTCATTGCTTCATTACATTAGTTTTGGTTATTACATTTTTTTTTCTTATTCTTATTAAAGACCTCTTCCATTAAATTGTTCGAACTTTCTGCTTTATTGTATGTTCATTCTTTGCAACTTAATTTACGCCATGAAATGTTCTTCAGGGCCTCCAAATGGAGAAAGTAACTATGAAGAAGCTGTTGAGTTTGATCCAATTCAGTACCACAATTACTTCTGTCCTTGGGTGAATGGTAATGTTGCTGCTGCTGGCTGTAGTAGTAGCAGTGGCTCCAGTTCCAATGCTGGTGCTGTAGCTCTTTGTGGTTGGCAATTGACTCTAGATGCCTTGGATGCCTTCCAATCACTTGGACACCTCCCAAACCAAACTGTTGAATCTGAATCAGCTGCGTCTCTATATAAGGTATCCTATTTTCTAGCTTTTGCTTCTTTCTTTTGGTCTTATATGTTTGTCTTTATTGTGTTTTAGTTTCTGAAAGCCAGGTATCTACTACCCTATCTATTGTCTTCAAAAAATCTCATAGATAGAAAACATACAACCTGGCTTGAGTATAAGGAAACGAGTAGATGTAGTTGTCCTGTTTTCAGTATGTTGATATGATGTTATATCTGCTCTTAAGACACCAGCAATCCATACTGGATTTGGCCATGGACATTGGCTGTTGCAGATCACATCCTTTGGCCCAGCTAGAATATCTCCCTTTTTTTATATGATCACTTGTGTACGTCATATATTGAGTACTTTACATGTTATAAGTATTCTCAATATTTGGCAGGATGATCATCTAACTCCAAGGCGGAAACTTCTTGCACGCCATTCCTTCAGTAAAAAACCGTGGACAAAGCTGAATTGACTCAGAATCTAGAACATTAACCAACAGGTAAATGCTTTCATCCATACTCTTAATCTAATTTTCAGTGACATTCTGTTTAATTAATTCAGACACAAAGGTTGACAAGAAAATAGTTTTGGGTTCCTTCCCCACCCCCCCCCCCCCCCCCCCCCCCCCCACAACCACTGCTTAGAGACTAAGTTTCTCCTGTTGTAGAATAGAAGGTTTACTAGAACAAATTAAGAAGTGGATAATTAAGATGATTTGCATTCTAGTTGGATTTCCAGTCAAAAGAAACAAAATAAAATGAGAAAAAGAGAGAGGAAAGGCAGAAATTTTGATATGGCTTTCATATTATTCATTTGTTAGGCTGTTTCCAGTCCTTAGGCTTGTGTCCTTCAATTGTGAGGACAGACGGCGATGATTTTTAATGGTGCATAGACCATATGTTTGCTCCTAAATGGTATTTTGTTTAAAGATATTTACAATGAAAACAGTACTTTGCACCTGTGCTTGGTTGAAGTCTTAAAGGCAATCATATGCTTAGGCGTACTGATTGATGTTCAATCTCATGGTACATGGTGATTTCATGCCTTCTGACCTGGGATATGCTCTTTATTTGTAAATGTTTCCTCTATGCTAAGAAGTTTGCTGACTTCAGAACTCACTGCAAATTTGAGAAAGGAAAGGGTGTTGGGTAGCTTCCATGAGGGAATTCAAAATTGCTGAGAAGCTGAGGACGGTGGTCTTTCTTTTTGCAATTTACCTACTTCATAGCACCTCGTCATCTTTCACATTATTGAAGTCTTGCATATTATGGTTCCCTTCCTACCTAATGAGATTTATGCTATGTTTGGAATTGGCTTCTTCAGGGGAAAAGGAAAGCAGAATGGAAATTTCAAATTTCTCATTTTACTCGTACGCAAGTTTTAATTTCTCAATACCCCTATACTAATTATCATCTCATATTCTTAATCAACTAAAAAGTATCAAGAAATTTGATGATCTATTTAGGTTTAGTTTTACAAATTCTCCTTCCCCCTTTTTTCTCATAAAAAAGCCCAGGTTCTAAATGTAGCATTAAGGTGGATGTTTTTTCTTGTGGAACTACTCTTATAGGAAGTCACTAACATGGGGGAAATCTCTTTTTATCTATTGAATCTCACCAGAAACAAGAGTATTGTTTGTCTTGGCTGCATTATATTGGCAGTGTATAGCAAAATGCAGGCAACTTAAATACGATATGACTATTCCTGATTGCTCAGTTTGCTAATTATACATCACATTCAATGAAACTTGTATTTGCTTTGTAGTAATGTTGCAGCCAGCCCCCGTGAGGTGAATGCTATGGTCAGGTTGTGCTCTGGTGAATGCAATTCGTAAGAAGTTGGTTGATTGCCTTCTACGACCAAAGTGGCTTTCCTATTATACCTGTGTTTGATGAGACTAGAAGTCGAATCTTGTTACAACTTGTTGAGTAAACACCTTTTCATGGCGCTTTATTTCTCTTTTCTCATTCTCTCTTACATACCCGCCTCTCCTGCAGGGAGTAGTAATAATTATATGCCTCTGGGTGTCAAATGAGGTTTTCTTCTTCATTTTGGTTTCAACGCTAGAGACACCTGAAAATGTTTTTGCCATTTCATCTAGTGTTAATCATGTACTCTTAGTCAATTATGTTTTCAGACATTGTTATGTAATTGGAAATGTTTTCTTTACTTCCTTTTTTTTTTTTTTTTTTTGGGGGGGGGGGGGGGGGGTGTTGTGTGGGGGTTCTTGTGATTTTTCCTATTTTGTTTTCCCCAATTCCCATTATGATAAAATTAGATTAGATGAGTTCACTTTGAGAATTCTGAATCTTGCTGCATCGTTTACATTTATGCATTTGTGTAAATGGGTTTCTCAAAACAAAAGAGAGTGGAGCAGAAGTCCTACGCAGTTGATTAACATTAAGACGTCTGGAAATTAGTTAGGTTTTACGTGTATTTCTTTAAGTAATTGTATTGAAGGGGCAAATGTGTCCATGTTTTTGCCCTTTTTTCATCTTAGGCTTACATATTTAATGCCAAAATAAAGTTCATACATACCCTTCTGTTCTGACCTTTTGAGAGGATATCAGTTTTTTATTAGATCTGGGGCGATTAATCACTTTTCCCTTTTGTTATCTGAAATAGTCACTTCCACACCTGGGCGACGTTCCCATTAAATCAACAGAGACGGGTAATAAAGTAAAGTAATAAGATATTAATTTAAGAAAAAATGCTTTGCCAAATGATTTGAGCTCCGAAGGGCCCATTTTTTTTTAAATCAAGCTAGAGCAGGAGATATTGCCTTTTGAATGTGTTGATTTGGGTTTGATTATTGACAAACATCTTCCCCACTTCCCGGTTGAACTTGGTCCACAGCCATTTCCGACCACTCTGGCTCTCATCTGCCATCACTGCTGTGTGGGGGTGAGTGGCATCGCCAGGGGAAGGTGCTATGCGGCTTGATGGTTGGTACAATGTTTTAAAACTGGGACTAATTGTTAAAATTGCTCGGTTTTTTTAAAACGAGTTTAAAAACCAAACTATCCAATGCCCTCCTCTCTCTCACCTTTTGTCCCACGTAGGCAGATACAAATATCACATTTGAAGTATGAAAATTCAAGGGGTCCATTATCAAGACACCAAAGTCAAATGTGTAAGGTAACTTACTTTTGATTTTTTAAAAAATTAGTTTTATTTTATTTAATCACGTTATAAATTTTATATAAAAGTGAACAAAAAAGTTAGAAAAATGTTCTTAATATTTTTTTACAATATGTTACGTTTAAATATTTAAAAATAAAAAATTTAGAAGAATATAAAAATGGTGAAAATTAGATTTTCAAAATAATTATTTTTTAAAATTTTTAATTAAAATTTTAACTATATATTATATATCTATTTATATAAATGTAATTTGAATATGGAAGTGAATAATTAATAAAAAAGATGTACTAATATTGTTATATTATTTATTAATTTTGAGTATTGTATAAAATTTAAAAAAAAATTATAACATTTGATTATACTCAATTTATTAGAATTTTTAATTTATTTTTTAAATATTTTTACTATCAATTGATTTAACTCACAATCAAATTAATTGAATTTATTAAATCGTGATTTAGTAATTTTATCGATTTAATTATGAGTTCAGATTTTGAAACCTGTGCTACTTGGAAGGTGAAGCGGAGTCTAGTATTCGAGGAGTTGGCGGAGGGGAAGGATGAACTAGCCGCGGCAGTCAACAGTAGCCCTAAGCATGCCTGCAAAGTTGGTTTCCGTTGGTGGGTCTTAACAATTTATGCACGGTCGTGTGGGGTTCAACTGCTATACGTAACCGTGTTGGTGGCCAGATCCATTCCAATGTTTCAACTCAAGCAAAAATCTGAAAAAGGAATGTTGTGTTCTTGGAGAAGCAATAGACTCAATTACAAAGATGGCTGGAGGATGATTGTGAAATCAGTCAAACTTAGCAGAATCTTTACATGGGAGGTAATGACAGGAGAATCTGGATATTTCCAGGAGGAGGAGGAGGAGGAAAATAGCAGGTTTCTTCAAAACATCTAGGGGGAGGTGGAATGAGGTGAACTTGTTCTAAACAATGAAAAGATGGGTTGACCCTTTCAAGTCCATCTTATTATTATACAAGGAGGACCAAAAGTTAAAATGAGAAATTTGTATTTATTTTGAACAAGAAGCATCAATTAAGGTGGCAAGTGATCAAGTTGGGTAATGACGAGACTCATAGAAATGTACTTGTTAAAACTTTTTAATCTTTTTGTGCTATAGATACAAAAGAAATTAATTTTGAGTCAAAATTAATTTAGAATACTCTTAATTTTATTGAAAAAAAAGAAAAATTATTTTTTTTCAAGAAGTATTACTCCTTTTCCCTCAAATTTAGAATAATAAATACCACAAGGTTTTTCACTTGGCAATCATCTGCTTGGAGCTTTCTTAAGTTAGTGCCACTTAAATTTTTTAAATTATAATTTAAAACTCTGTTTTAGGTTTTTGTTATTTTTTTTATCAAATAAAATAATTTAAAATATAAGCATTTTACCCAATTTAAAATAAAACCCAACCCTTTGGTTTTAGTCCCTACCTGACACAGGGGGCCAGTCATGATGTTCCTTTCTTTCGATATGCTCTGTTACAGTCTCTTTTCGAGTTTTCACTGTTTGAATTTCTATCGAATTATTGCTTGGCACTGAATTTTCTTGTCCCCTTAGGGCTGATCGTCGTTCATGGATCCTCAACGGAGCTAGTAAGTACATTTGTAAAGGTATGCATTTAGCCCTATGTCACCCCCCTATTTTTCTCTTTCTCCCCAACTCACTATGTTGCTGGAAACAGAGTGGTGAGGCAAGAAGGTCCAACACCTCCTTCAGCCTTGTCAATAGCAAGTACAAATCTCCCGCTCTCAGAGAGCCCACATTACAGTGAACAATATAAGACAGTAAAGAAAAGAAGGGAGCCGTCTCTCTCAAGGGAGGATGGGTCTCCGTTTATTTATTTATTATACCCCCCAAAGGAGCTTTGCAGAGGAGAGTTTTATAGAGATGTGATAGCTGAATATCCAAAAATGGAGGAGGAGGAGAGAGAGAAAAAAAAAACCTACATGCTATAAGTGTGGGGTCCAGCCCCTTAACAAAGTAAACAAAACAAGTGATCCAGCTCAATTTGCTTTTGCGACCAAAATAAAGCCTTTTGGCTTTTAGTGGGTGAAATCAATTTGTGCAACTGCAATGGCTGCTCCAAATTGAAATGAGAAAATGAATGTGCTGCACGCAAACAGCCTTGGTTGACAAGTGCAGATGGTGGACGAACGACGCAAAGCGCTCCTCGCCTATAAATAGAGGAGTTTTGTCATCTCAAAGTGCACCAAGACATAAAGAGAGATGTGAGCTAGGGAGAGAGAGAGTCT